GGTTTTGCATGAGTTTGCAGGAACTCCTGACAGGTCAGAATGTACAAATATTTTAACAAAATAAATAAAATAGGATAAATAAAAACGGTAAAAGCAAGCTGTAAATAATATATTTAATGTCAATAATTTACTTTTATAATGTATAGTTTACAAATGAATGTACAATTTCAATTTATTAACCATTAAAAATTAAATAAACAATAATCAATTAAATATATTCACAGGTCAGAATTTTAATAAATATTTAATATGAAGAGTTTACATGTGTAATTTACATACAAATTATTAAAAGGTCTTCACAGCTTAGAATATTTTACCTAACTAAATAAAACAGGACTAATAAAAACAGTTAAAAGCAGGAAGTAAATAATATATATAATGTAAATGTATATTTATAATGTGAAAATGACAAATTAATGTACAATTTAAATGAATTATTTATTTTTAAAATATAAACAATTCAGTAAATATATTAATAGGTCTGAAATGTAATAAATATTTAATATAAAGAATATACATTTATTATTTACATATAAATAATTATTAAAAAAAGTTAAATCTTCACAGGTCAGTATATTATAATATTTTAACTAAGTAAATAAAATAGGACTAATACAAACCGTAAAAAACAAGCATGCAAAATAAAAATATTTATTAAAAATTAAGTAATATACAATAAAATTAATAACAATGTACAAGGAATAAAAAGTGATGTGATTATATTTAATAGAAATTATTTACATGTATAATTCATTAAAACAAAAACAATTTAGTAAATATATTCACATTTCAGAACATTATAAACATTGAACAAATAAAACCAGTAAAAAAAGCAAGAAATATTAATAATATATTTATGATTAAGATTAATAAAACTTAATAAATAAAACATACACTGAATAAAAATGTAATGCAATGAATCAAAAAGCCTAATTATATTTAGAATGATATTATTTTTTTATATAAAAGTAATTCTAAACAAAAAATACCTTTGCAGGTCAGAACTTGACAATTATTTTTAATAAATAAAATTGGACAAATAAAAAAACAGTAAAAAGCAAGCAAGAAATAGTAAAACGTCTATTAATAAAATGGATACAAATTAGTAAATATTTAATAAAAACATATATTTATGATTAAATATTAAAATGAATAATTAATAGAAAATAATTAAAATTAGCACATTAAATGAATAAAAATGAACAGATATGCAATACAGTTTTGTAGAGATGTAATTATATTTAATGTAATTTACATTCAAATAAATATTCATAGGTCAGAATGTGAAAATATTTAACAAAATAAGTAAAATAGGAAAAATAAAAACAGTAAAAACTAAAAGCAAGAAATTATAAAACAATAAAATGGATACAAATTATTAAATATTTAATAAAAAAAAACAATACAATTATTATTTAAAATAATTAACATTTAAAATAATTGTATATAATTAAGATATCACGTTTTTTTCTTTACATAAGTCTGATACAAATGTACAAAATCGCTTGATGTTTTTGTGACAGGCAGTTTCATATGGTGACAATGCTAACTATGTTGTGATTTTTTTTTATTATATTAGAAATAATGCAAAATACAAAATGACAAAAAATATTAAAGGCGGTACAGTTTCAGCTGCCACTGAAAAGCACTGCAGTGGTTAAGGGTTGATTGTGTGTCCAGCTCATAAAACCTGACCTGAACATTACAGAAACCCTGAAAAAATGACATGCCAAAAGCAGAAAGTCATCAAGTGTCATGCCAAAAACCACCGTCCCCCCACACAAGCACTCTTTTATTTCTGGATAATAAACATCAGTCATTCTCTGCTGAAATACATCTCTGTTTTATCCATAAAACCGCTCAGCCCTGGAGAGAAACTCAATAGAGACACTCACCAACATCAACACAAGGACTCTGAAGAAAGTAAGGCCTGTTCAAATCCTTTCATCTGTCTTGTCTGTCAGTCTATCTCTGTTTTTCAGAAATCTAGTTAGATATCGTTTGGGCCGATGACAAACGGAGGACACACAGACGTTGGTTTCTGAGTTTCAAGAACTGGGAGCACGAGTGCTCAGCCTTGAGGTGTTAACAAAGAGATGTTTGTTATGACAGCGGCAGGAGCCTCTCAGGGGCCACCGGAGTCTCCCGAACTTCCTCATGCACCGTAGCACATGATGCAGAGATGCAAACACACTTTTGATCAGGAAGTGGACAAAATAGGAGTTCCTCTTTGTAGTGATGTTCACTAGGCTTATTGTGAACTGAGAATGATGTAATAATCTCAAATGAAAACCAACCAGGGCTGCGTTTCCCAAAAGCATCGAAAGCTTAAGTACATCATAGACCCATTGAAACCAATGGAGCTACGATCAGCTTAGGCTTACGATGCTTTTGGGAAACGCAGCCCAGATCACGAAAATACTGTAAATGTGGAACTGATGCATTAAATTATGTTCCACATTTTACTGCTTCTATATGTCTCATATAAAAATAGGTCTATAAAAAATATATGTATACAAATATTTATTATATAAGATAAATTAAATCAATCTATCTACGAATATACCTTCAAACTTTAAATGGGAGACAAAACACCAGTGTAGTCTAGCAGAGAGTATTGTTGGATAGAAGTTAGCAAGCTTTCCGACTCAAAAGTGAAGAAAAAAACACACTTTATCTTCCCCTTTGAGATATTACATATGATTTGATTTCCAAATGATAAAATACTTTTTAAATTACTATTTATGGCGCTATATTTATGTGTATTTTTGCAGCAGATTCAATTCCACTAAAATAGGACTGCATTTCCCAGCATGCAACCAAAGCAGTTCCGGATCGTCTCCGAGCAGCAGCATGCTGGGAAATGTAGTCCTCATCCCTGTATTCTGTTCCCACCGTCTCCGACGCGAAAGATGCCGGCCGTACACCACAAATTATTACTCGAGGAGGCCTTGCAAGACAGTCCGCAGGTAAAAATCCGTTTACTGGACCTTTGTTCAATGCTTTAGTACTCATAACTGTTTGGCTTTGTGTGATTAGCGTTGCAAACCGGATGATGCGGCTGTCGAGACGCGCGTATGTCGCTGGTCGCAGCGTTTATGTGGCAGCTAATCAAAACAAAACATAGTTTTAGATTAAATTTAAGTGCACTATTAAGCGGAGAATCACCTCAGCTCGTTTAGTTCATCTAATTGCATGTATGGCTAATTTTTAAAGCCTTTTATTCTCACATAAGCGCCATAGACGAGACGCATCCTGCACGTATGTTGATCATATTTTATGAACATGAGAGACGCGCGTCAAACATACGTGCATCTGACGCTACAAACGCGCGTCTTATTTTCAGCTTTGACGTTTTAAAGTTGCAAATGTGTTGCTAGCAGTGGAGTTGTAAATGAAGGGGCCTGTATGGGAGGAGTGAGATGTTGTTTAAGTGGTCCAACCCACACAAGTCTGATCCTCATACATTATTAGTATCAAATCTGAGTATCAAATCAAAAACGTCAGGTCAGAAACAACACCAAATGATATTCAGCATCAGATCAGCAACTGACACGTCTGAGGCATCCAGTGAAACCCACAGACACACACACACACACACAAAAACGTTTGCTAAACGTTGATATAACATTGTTTCATGCATTGCATTGTCTTGCAACAGGTTTTCATTATTACTGCCTATGCAAAAGTCATAATTAGGCCTAATTTGCATGTTATTTTATAGCAGTTCAAAAGCGTGAAGCCTCTCCCACATACTTGAGATATTGTCAGTGAAGTAATGATTTACTTTATAAGTTGGAGTTATGAGTCATACCCCATAATGCTCTGTGCTGGAGAGTATGAACCCACAGATGGTGTCCGCCCCGTCGCTCGCTTTGTTTGCATTGGAAACACACCCAAAAGTCTGTCATGATCCCTGACAGAACACACCTGTGGATACACCCAGCATGCTTCACGCTGCACAAATGCTTATTGGGTTCATTTAGCACATCTGACACTGTGTGAATATGGAGAATTGTATGCGTCCTGTGTTTGCAGACGCGGTCCTTGCTCAGTGTGTTTGAAGAGGATGCAGGCACGCTCACTAACTACACGAACCAGCTGCTCCAGTCCATGCAAAGAGTGTTTGGAGCACAGGTACACACACGCTCACATCGACTTCAGCTGACTGTATTTTTAAATAAATGTTCAGTTTGTTGTGCATGAATCATCAGTGCGTGTTATTTTAAAGATAAAAGTTTGTTTTTATAATCGTTTTTTCCACCGGTGAAACACATTTTGTTTTCTGATGATGTCAGCAAGGCCACAGGGGTGTGGAAAATAATAACCAATAGTATCACAGCATAACATTTACTATCCAATCAAATCCTAAAGGACAAACTCAGGTCCCGCCCTACATTATTTTTAACTTAATATTCTGTTATCCATAATAATATATGGCACATTATGAATGTGAAATTAATAAACTGTGACTTTCAATTTAAATACGCAGGAAATAATTATATGAAATCTAAATATGTATTTTAAAATCCTGAATATGAAGTTACAATTCTAAATACATAACTATAAATTTGAATATTTATTTGATCTGAATATGTAATTATAACTTGGAATATATAAATGTAAATCTGAATATATACACCGAAATAATTATATAATCTTAATATATCTTTTCAAATTCTGAATATTAAGTTATAATTCTAAACATATGACTGTAAATTTAAATATTTCTTTTTACATTTGAATATGTAATTATATCTTGGAATATATCAATGTAAATCTTAAATATATAGATGCAAATCTGAATATACACAGATTTAGATCTGAATAGAAATGTAAATCTGAATATGTAGTTATAAGTCTAAAAATAGAAATGTAAATTTGTGTATGTAGTTATAACTCGATATAAAAATGGAAATTCTGAATATATAGATATAACTGTAAATGTGTAAATATAAGCCATCAATATATAGATGTAAATCTGAATATATAGTTATAAATCCTAAATATTTAAAAGTTTAAGCTATATTCTGAATTTATATTTATAATTCTAAATACCTTAATGTAAATTGTGAATAGTTATAAACATTGATTATTTATATATTAATACATTTGATAGATTTATTTCTGTATATTTAGATTTTTAACTATATTTTTGGGTTTACATTTATATTCAGATTTCATTTAATCTTTGGCAAATATAAATAAATGAATAAATAATATAAATAAATAATTTAAAATGATTATTTTAATGATTTTATTTTAAATTCAACTTTAATTACACACAAAGTTCCCGCAGTGTGTATATGTTCAGATTTCAGATCTGTTTGTGTTAGTATAAGACTTCACCTCATAGCAGCTCTGATTCTGCATTTGACTAAATGAATTTTCTGCAGAATGAAATGGCTCTGGCGACAGAACAGCTTTCTAAGCAGCTCTTGGAATATGAGAAACAGGTAAGCAGTTGCATTAGCAGTCATGAATGGTTGTGTTACTGATCATGTGTTAACACATGTGTTACTGATCAATCTGACCTGACGCTTTGTGGGCGCAGAATTTTGCTCTGGCAAAGGGCGACGAAGAGGTGATCAACACTTTACAGCACTTCACCAAAAGCGTGGAAGAGGTGAGAAGACGCCTGCAGAGTGTGTGTGAGAGAGAGAGAGAGAGAGCGCAGGGTCTCTCGGTCAGAGCGAGGCCATCAGTCGTGTGGCAGGTGTTCTGGGTTGGTTCTCATGCAGGTTGTTTGATGTTTGCCAAGATGGCAAGATCACCTGATCACATAACCTTCAACTGCAGAATTTTTAATATTATCTAGATCAAAGCAGCAAAAATTCACAGTGTGACAATTACATTTTTTTGTATAGTCCACACTAGGGTTGTGACGGAAGGAAATTTTCCCACCGGTTAATCGACGTGTGACAATACCGGTAATACCGGTATCACCGCGGGGGCGGGGGCTCTTCCTCGCTTTCCTTTGCTTTTAAATAGCTTGTAAAAGCTGCGTGCCCATTTTACTTTCACTTTCAAATAGCGGCAATTCGGTGTAAAGCAATTGCTCGTTTTTAGTTCGTTTGAATTTTCCCTCTTTTCCTCGCTTTCCTTCGCTTTTAAATAGCTTAAAAGCGCCGTGCGCATTTTACTTTCACTTTGCCGCAGTGGGCAAGTGACATAACCAGTGTTGTGGCTTAACACCGGTATCACCGTCAACACCGTCTATCGCGGCAAGCCTAGTCCACACACAGCACACTAATAGCTTCTAAATATTTAAATAACATAATTTTTACAGTATTAATATTATCTCTCTAGCTGAACTCTCTGCACGCTGAACTGGCAACTCAGATTGCAGACAAGATGGTGTTTCCCATGGTGCAATTCAGAGAGAAGGACCTTACAGGTACAACACTCACCTTAAAGATCATCTGCTTTCATTCTGTTTTATTTCATTATTCATTCATTTATAGAATGTATGTTTTTTTAACGTTTTAACATTTTCTCTTACAATCATTGTTTATTTTATTCTTTTTTTAGACTGTTTAGATATGCATTTTATGATATGTATTTTTACGGATTTTTCAAAAGTGTCAAAATAATAATTTAAAAAATACTATTTAATTTGCTCGTGTTTTTAGAATAATGTAAATTTTTTTATGTTAATATTAATTCAAGTTGTTTCTTAAACATCATACTAAATTTCAAGCAGACAAATTGAATGATACATGATTTTTTAATAAAAAACAAAAAATTATAATATTTATTTATATTATAGTAAATATATTTTGTCTGCTTGTTTTTTAGATTAATATTAATATCGATTGTCATTGTTACATTATAATTAATTTAATCATAATTTATTTCTTGAACATTGATGTCTTTGATCGTTAAATTCTAAGACAAAAAATTAATAATAAAATTGTTGTATTATTCATATCACTTATTAAAACAGTAATGCTGTTTTTTTTTCTTGGTATCATTTAGATGAATATTAATATTTATATAAATATGAGTGGAGTAATTTTTTTATATTCCAACCAGTGTTTATAATTTCGTGAGCGTTTCTCACAATCTCTGTTTAAATGCTTGTGTTACTGTACCTTTAAGACTCTTGTACCTGTCTTTTTTTCTTTTTATGTTTTTTAAAAGTGAATATCCTGTTCTATGATCCCTTGATCCCAGTGTCAGGTAATCAGATCTCAATATAAAGTCAAGCAGATTTTAAAGAGTGCTTGTTTGTGTTTGTTTTCAGAGATCAGCACGTTGAAGGAGATATTCGGCATCGCCAGTGATGGTATGAGGTTCATAATGTCTCTTAATTAATAATGGACGAAACTAAAATATTTCTATGCTAAATGAAATGCACTTTTTCTGTCTCTCTTTGTCTCTTCAGAGCATGAAGCTGCCATGGTGAAATATAGTCGTTTACCTAAAAAGAGAGAAAATGAAAATTCATCTTTATTAATAATGGATGAAAGAAAAATATTTCTAAGCTATATGATAAATGAAATGCACTCTTTCTGTCTCTCTTTGTCTCTTCAGAGCATGAAGCTGCCATGGTGAAATATAGTCGTTTACCTAAAAAGAGAGAAAATGAAAAGGTAAATATTAATATGATATATGAAAGACATGAATTAGGATCCGGTATGGAGCAGTTAAATGTGTTTGTGTGTGGACAGATAAAAGCCGAGGTGGTGAGAGAGGTGGCGTATTGCCGCAGGAAGCAGCATCAGGCCGCGATGCAGTATTATTGTGCTCTGAACGCGCTGCAGTACAGGAAGAGAGTGGCCATGCTGGAGCCCATGCTGGGATACACACACGCTCAGGTCTGACACGCTCAACTAGCCCTCAATCACTGCTGCACTCTTTCATGGATCAGCTACATGTGAAAGCTGTTGAATTTTGGGAGCACACATCAATTAATACATGTAGTCTAGCGGTGGGCTGTATGAAGAAATAGTTCATATTCTCAAAAATGTTGATCAATAACAATATACTTCATGATATATATGAAAAAATATTTAGTAAAATTTTTAACAGCCATGTAAATTCCAATTGGACACATTTAAAGATATTTCATTTTATTTGCTTGGTATTTTTAATAGTATCATTTATGTCAGTATTAATATCAATCCAGTTATTTCTTGAATATTGGTGCCTTTTTAATTATATTAAATTCCAAGTTGACAAATTTAAAAACAAATGGTTGTATTTCTAATAATAAAATTGTCATTTAAAAAAAATAATTTCTAAATTATAATTTTATTTGTTGTGTTTTTAGATTATTGTTAATACTTATTTTAATATTCAGTTATTTTGAGAACACCATATTACAATTAAAAAATTTTTTAATATATTAATATATAATAGTATTATTTAATAATATTATTTATATTACACTAATATTATTTATTACACTTCACTACAATTTCAAGAGCACAATTTTGTTTTTTAAGATTTATATTGGTATTTAAAATTCAGTTATTCATTATATTAAATTCTAAGTAGACACATTTTTACAAAAATAAATAAAAAATTAGTCAAATAAATTTGTAAAATGAATACAAAAAAATAGTATATTATTTATATTGCTTATTAAAATTTCATTTTTTTATTTGCTTGGTATCTTTTAGATTAATATGAATTTTTTTTTGTAAATATGAATTAAGTTATTTCTGGAACATCAAATTAAAAACCAAGTAGACACATGTAATAATTATTTTATTTTGAAAAATAAAGTTATTGTATTATTTATATTACACTTTATTTAAAACAAAAATCAAATACAGTATTTTGTTTGCTTTTTAGATTAATTTTGCTATTTATTTTAATAATATTAGTTATTTCTGAAACATTGTGTGCTTTTGATGTATTAAATTCTAAGTAGACACATTATTTTTTTAAATTTAATAATAAAGGTATAATATTTATATTACATATTAAAATGATTTCAAAAATGCTATTTTATTTGCTTGGCATCTTTTAGACATTGGTAATATAAATATGAATTTATTTTTCTTCAGTTATGTCTTTTTATTATATTGTTACAGCTGCTTTTTAAAAGCAATAAATCATTCAAGTTTGTGTTTCTTTGCAACATGCACTTATGTGTGCTAAAAATGACTAATGCAACACCTCTCATGACTTTTTGCTTCAAAGTAAGTGTTATTTGTGTGCATTATTCTCAATATAGCCGAATATCTGTTTTCCACAGATACATTTCTTTAAGAAGGGGATGGAGCTGGTGTCGAAGAAGATGGACAGTTTTCTAAGCTCAGTTTCTAGCATGAATCAGAGGTAAAGGAGCGGACTGATTTCTGTGATTGATCATTGATTGGCTGTGATTGACTGCTGTGTCTGTCTGTGGGACAGTATTGAGTCTCAGTTAGAGGTGGAAGCAGAGGTCATGCGTTCGTCTCAGAGAGAGCTCCTGTCCGTGGATGACACTGTCTACATGCCGGATCATGATCAGGTCCCCGTGAATCGCGCCCTCATCCAGAAAGCCGGTTACCTCAACATCAGGAAGTACGGATCAGTGTATGTCTGTGGGGTTTGATGAAAGCGGGCCGGTGACGTGTCTAGTTTAACATGCTGAAGTCTCTGTGTCCTGCAGTAAGACGGGTCTGGTGACGACGGCGTGGGACCGCTTGTTCTTCTTCACGCAGGGCGGTAACCTGATGTGTCAGCCGCGGGGCGCGGTGGCAGGTGGGATGGTCCTGGATCTAGACAACAGTTCTGTCATGGCCATCGAGTGTGAGGACCGCCGCTACTGCTTCCAGATCACTTCACCCAACGGCAAAACGTATGGAGACTGTGCTTGTGTCTGAATCTGCCAAACTAGTGTTTGTGGTCTCAAGTCAGGCTTTATCTGTCAGCTCATAAAGGTCCCAGGCTGCTACAGTGAGTGTTTTTGTAGATGAATTGGGGGCATCAAACAAGAGATACTAGGTGGAACTTTTTTTTTTTTAACTATATTATAAATCTTATTAAATATTGAAATTGTTTAATTATGTAATAAATAATTAAACTATATATAATTCTATATGATTTAATATTATATTTACATATTAAAATGATTTCAAAAATGCTATTTTATTTGCTTGGCATCTTTTAGACATTGGTAATATAAATATGAATTTATTTTTCTTCAGTTATGTCTTTTTATTATATTGTTACAGCTGCTTTTTAAAAGCAATAAATCATTCAAGTTTGTGTTTCTTTGCAACATGCACTTATGTGTGCTAAAAATGACTAATGCAACACCTCTCATGACTTTTTGCTTCAAAGTAAGTGTTATTTGTGTGCATTATTCTCAATATAGCCGAATATCTGTTTTCCACAGATACATTTCTTTAAGAAGGGGATGGAGCTGGTGTCGAAGAAGATGGACAGTTTTCTAAGCTCAGTTTCTAGCATGAATCAGAGGTAAAGGAGCGGACTGATTTCTGTGATTGATCATTGATTGGCTGTGATTGACTGCTGTGTCTGTCTGTGGGACAGTATTGAGTCTCAGTTAGAGGTGGAAGCAGAGGTCATGCGTTCGTCTCAGAGAGAGCTCCTGTCCGTGGATGACACTGTCTACATGCCGGATCATGATCAGGTCCCCGTGAATCGCGCCCTCATCCAGAAAGCCGGTTACCTCAACATCAGGAAGTACGGATCAGTGTATGTCTGTGGGGTTTGATGAAAGCGGGCCGGTGACGTGTCTAGTTTAACATGCTGAAGTCTCTGTGTCCTGCAGTAAGACGGGTCTGGTGACGACGGCGTGGGACCGCTTGTTTTTCTTCACGCAGGGGGGTAATCTGATGTGTCAGCCGCGGGGTGCCGTGGCAGGCGGGATGGTTCTGGATCTGGACAACAGTTCTGTCATGGCCATCGAGTGTGAGGACCGCCGCTACTGCTTCCAGATCACTTCACCCAATGGCAAAACGTACGGAGACTGTGTGTGTGTGTGTGTGTGTGTGTGTGTGTGTCTGAGCGGTCTAAAGTCAGGCTTTATCTGTCAGCTCAAAGTTCCCAGGCTGCTAACAGTGAATGTTTTTGTTGATGATTTGGGGACATCAAACTAGAGATATTAAATTTAACTTTTTTACAACTATATTACATATACTACATACATATTATAAAATATTGATATTATGTATAATTGTGTAGTAAATAATTAAACTATATGTAATTATTTAAGATTTAATGTATATATGTGTATATATATAAATATATATAAAATGTAACTTTTTAAAAACTATATTTCAGACTATATATACTACATACATATTATAAAATAATAAAAGTTTAATTTAATAAAAAAAAATTAAATTAAACATTTCATACATTTTAATGATTATATTTTGCTTTTAATAAAATGTCAGGGAGATATTTTTTGCAAGCTGGCGTAGTGTGTGGAATTTTTTGTTTCTATATTAATTTGCACAATATGTAAGTTTTCGCCGCTAGAGGTCGCATTTTCAAAACAATAACAAAGGTGAAGCTTGATATATAGCTATGAAGGAGGATGTTCACAGATGAGGTAATTCATTTTTTTTTTTTTTATTACCTGTACCTTCCACAGTTATTTAAACGCAATAAATTATACAGAGAAAGCAAGCAAAGAACATTTACACGGTCAAAGAACATTATGACTGACTTTGGTCTAGCGCGAGTTTAAGCACTCTCAAAAAACTCCCCTTATAATCAGTAAAGCTGTCTATACACGGTTTTATGAATGAATCTCTTGCATCATACATACATCCGCACTTTGTTGTTTATGATGAGAGAATTCGCGTGAGAGCTGAATTCAGTCAGCGAGGCGTGCAGTGAACAAAAACTCATCTGAACGCCTCTGATTGGCCATTGCATTCATAAGCTCAGCTGACTCATCTGTGATTGGTTATAATGCGCAACACTGTAAAAACGCGTAAAAAAAATCATGGCGCAACATTGAGCAGGTCTAAATTTAATGCTGCGGTCAACACTTAAAATTTTCACTTTCACTTTATTCGCGACAGCCGTAATGGATTTAGTTTAACTGTACAGCAGCATTTATATGCGGATATTACGTCATTGATAGGCGACAATGACCAGGGACGATTTATTATTTAAAATGGGAATTTCTATTGATTTACAAATCCTTGGGAACTTTTGGGATAACGTAAGTACACAACTGCATGAAATATATCACACTGTGCAAGTAGTTTTTGGATATTTTATTACGAAAATCTTACATATTGTGCCTTTAAGTAAAATAATTTTCTAACTTTGTTATATTAATTTATTTCCATATATTTCTAATATAAATATTATATTAGATATATTATATACATATTTCACATGTTAAAATATATGTAACACACACATATTTATAAATATATATATATGTATGTGTGTGTCTATATATATATATATATATATATATATATATGACAAATACAAACGTAAATATAAAATTATAGTAATTATTATTACTCGCATTTGTAAACAGTAAAGGTCATTGCACACTAAGTCCGAAATTTTCGCACGTTAAAAAATAAATATGACCTCACATTGTGTCAATCACGTTTACACACTGCCTCCGAAACTTTCGTCCGTCATAAAAAATTCGGATCAGGTTCGACTTTCTGCGTTTTCGCATCCGTAGCAAGCGTTTTGATAGGAAAGGATGACGAATACGAAAACAAATGAAAAAACGCAAATGGAAATTTCGCACTCAGTGTGCAAGGACCTTAAGTAATAGTAAACATAATATCTAATATGTGATTAAACGACTAGACTTGTTGTATTTTGTGAAATAAAATTAAATAAAATGGCAAGAATGAACTCACTGTATTTTGAGAATAAAATCATTATTTTTTTGGAATTAAAGGCATTGTTTCTCCAAATTAAACTGAATAAATTTCAAGAAAAGTATCAGAATAAAATATCAAGATCCAGATTTCTTGGATAAAGACATAAATAACATAAACATAAATATTGAACAAGTATCTGCCAAATGCATAAATGTCAGTTAACATCACTATATCATTAGAATAAAGTAATTCGATTTTGAGTTTCAATTCGCTCACTCGTATAACTGCAGGTTATATCCAACTCGATACATTAAATCCAGCCGTTATGTTAAATATATCCAAAAATATGTCTGATAGTGCTGAAGTAACGTACACATCTCAGTGAGTCGTGGGTTTCCTCTCACCTCCATCAGCGGCACACCTTCAAAATCAGTTTCCTGCTGAATGATTAAACGGGGCTTAATGATGTCCTGATGTGGAGCTGATCTCTGCTCCTGTCTGCTGTGTTAATGGAAGAAGATCTGATCATTACTCCTGGGTTCACACTGACGTGATAACAAACAGCAGCCGGCAGTCATCAGTGTCGTCACCATCTCTCTCTCTGTTTCCAGGTCTCTGATTCTTCAGGCTGAGAGTAAGAAAGAATATGAAGAGGTATTTACACGCTTCAGTAAAGATGCTTTAAAAAATACACTCTTAAACCAACTCTCTTAATTATAGATCGATTAATACTACATGCATTATAAATGTCCATTCTTTCTGTACACTTCTTTTATCTTTCTCCACAGTGGATTTGCACCCTCAACAACATTTCCAGACAAATTTATCTAACTGACAATCCTGAGGTATGTCTGTCAGTCTGTCTGTCTGTCTGTCATAAAGAGTGCTTTCAGTTACCTAACCAGATTATAGCAATTATACCATGGTAAACAAATATCCTAGCAATATATATTTTATAATCAAATACATAATGTGAATAACTTAGTAGCATCCTAACAACTAGAAGGTAAATGAATATGCAAATAATAATTTAGTATTAATTAATTTTTAATTAAATGAAGGCTAAACATATGTAAACAAAATATTACAATTAAAAAATGTATTGTATGTTTTATATATACACACACACACACATTTTTGTTGCATTTTTTATATATATACATGTGTGTATATGTGTGTATATATATATATATAAGGCATTGTTTCTCAAAATTAAACTGAGAGTTAAATACAAAGCCATACAATTTTTTATTAATATATTGTATATTATTAATATATACACATATATTACAATTTTTATATTTTAATATGTATATTTAGAATTTTTATATCAATTTGATTATTTTCCAAAATCGTTCAGCCCTAGTTGTTGCGTTTTTTGTATGTGTATATATATATATATATATACATAAACACACACTATTAAAATATATACACTGTCAAAATTAAATACCAGTCATACAATTTTTTTATTTGTATGTACATATATATATATATATATATACATATGCACACACACACACACTTAAAATTTATATTTTTTATTATGTGTGCACTGAGTGAATCACAACATCCTAGCAACTGCATGGTATATAAACAAAATATTTATAAAATATTTTTTTTAGTTAATGGCAAAACAATTTTAACTGTATTGAAAAATATATTTATTTATTTATTATTATTTATTTTAATAATTTTTTGTCTGTATCAGACACCTACTGTGAGCACTGAGTGAATCTGTGTGTGTGTGTGTGTTGTTTTCAGGCTGTGGCGATCAGGTTGCATCAGACGGCCCTCCAGGCTGTGACGCCCATCACCAGCTTTGAGAAGAGAGCAGAGGGTTCTCCAAACCCTGACCGGTACGAACATTTCATGAAGACTAAACACATGCACTTATAGTTTATTAAAATCTTTGAATAGATCTTTCTAAATGATTTGATTTAGAATCCTGTTTTTCCTCATCTGTAGAGCGAAACCAGGCGGTGTGACCTCTAGAGAGCCTCAGAAACCCCCGACGACCCTAGAGCCTGAAGATCTGATTGTCCCAGGAACACCAATCCAGTTTGACATTGTGCTGCCTGCGTCTGAGTTCCTGGACCAGAACCGAGCTGGAGCGAGGTCAGAGGTCAAAAACCACCTGAACACACGGAGACTTTATGACCCTTTTGTAAAGTGTTTATGTAGATGTATCATTTTATGGGCTGTGTTTGTGTGTTTTACAGTGTGTTTATAGCTTTACTGTCTCTGCTCAGTTTTAACTGCTTGTTTTCTGTCAGACGCACAAACCCCTTCGGTGAGACGGAGGATGATGACGGCGCTTCAGACACACACGGTGAGACGAGCCCATTTCAGCTAGCAAACAAAGAGTACTACTTTGTACATGTACCATGAAAATACCAAAAATATACTGCTAATAATGTGGAATTAGTTCCTTATTATGGTTTGAAATTAAATAAAGGCAAAATATAGTATATATATAATTTAATATTAAAATATATGTATAAATTATTTTATTATCAGTTAAAGTGGTTTATTTTAATTTATATTATACATTTTTATATATATGTTTTTATACATTGTCTATTTTTTTTTACTGTTACATTATGGCATCTATCTATTAATTGATCCATGGTTTCAGTGAAGTTTAGTAAATTAAATGATTACGTATTATATTTAATATAAATACTTTTTTAATTGTACATGTTTTATATGTATATTTAAAATAATAAAAAAATAATAATGTGAGCATTGAGTAACTTAGCAATATATAAAATATTGTAAATATTTTACACCTAGTTTTTATACATTTTCTATATTTAAAAAAAATAGTATATATAAATGATTGTATTAAAAATGACTATTTAAAAAAATAGAAAAACTTAAAGTAAAACTAATGACTAATAAAAAATGAAGAATATTTTAGTCTAATATATAAAAAAATATATATATACACTGTATATTTATAATTACTTTATATTTTAATATATTCTTAATTTAATATTTTAATGTCTAATATATTAATGTTTTATTATTATATGCCTTTATATTAATATAAATATATTTTGTAATATATATATTCCAAAATGTATATATATATCACAGTATGATAATGAGCTTATTAAATGTTATTTTCCTAAAATAGGCTTTTCTTTTTCCTTTTCTTTTCTGTAAAATATCCCAGATTCGCTCCTGCAGCAGGTGTTTGCCGTGCGGTTCTTGGGTTCGATGGCTGTTCGGGCCGGTCACACACAGGAAGTGATCTATGAAGCCATGAGGCAGGTTCTCGCCGCTCGTGCAATTCACAACATCTTCAAAACCACCGAATCCCACCTGATGGTCACCAGTAGCTGCATCAGGTGCGTCTGCCGTCTCACCTCTGATTCACATATTTACATTTGTACAGGATGCTCAAAACTGTTTTTGTGTCCGTCAACAGATTGATCGAGCCACAGACACAAGTCACCAAAATCAGTGTAAGTGTTGATGTATTAATAAGACTGCGCTCACTGAAGCCAGACATCGACAGCAGAAGCATCTCAGTTGTGTGTGTTTGTCAGTTCCAGCTGAAGGACGTGACTCAGTTTGCCGCCCATCAGGAGAACAGCAGGCTGATGGGCTATGTCCTGCAGGGGAGCGACTGGAGCGACGGAGGCGAGGATCAGCCCTCCTTCAGCGTGTTCGTGTTTGAGAGCAACACTGAAGGAGAGAAGGTCCGTCTGCAGACCATGAACCATAACACTTACATTTAATATCAGATTAACGCTTGACTTTTTGCTGTTTCTCCTCAGATTTGTTACACAATAAACCTGGGGAAGGAGATCTCTGAGGCAAAGAAGGTAAAACCACAATATCTGAAGTCCAGAGATTAAAATATACCATTCCAAACATAAATCACACTAATTTAATGTCTGTTATTGTGCTGCTATATATATGTGTGCGTGTATATTAGGGCTGTCAGTTTAACGCGTTCACTTAATTAGTTATGAAAAAATAACACAATTAAAATATTTTAACGCAGTTAACGCACTGGCCCCAGACCTGTACATCATCTTACACTTCATACAGTTGACAAATATGATGCAGAGCAACAACTCCATAAATGCAGTTATGCCCTAAAATTCAAGATATTGGTGCAAAAAATGCCCCTGTATGAGTTTTGTCTCATATTTATATATATATCACACGAGTGCTGATTTTTTTACAAAGCTGTTTTGGTTACTAATGACTTTCATTGTAAGTCAAAACAATATATAATATTATAACAAAAAATACTGAGATGTTTCTCAAATTATCTTCTATGTTCCATAGTTTATGTTAGGCTGTTGCAGCCTAAATGTTTGTGTAATACATTTTATTTTGAATCAAGTAAAATATTTATTTTTTAAAGCTACAATTTGTAATGTCTACTTGATACTTTCTCATTTAACACAAAAATAGCTTTAAATAATCTTTTGTGGGTATTTTCACAGTCAAATTTATTTTGCAATTAATTAATCGACTGACAGCCCTTTTATATATATATGCAACATAATTCAAATAATACATTATGTATTTTATTAAAATATTTTTATATTTCATATTAAATTATATAAATTTTATGCAAAATATTATTCTGTACAATATCACTGTGAAAGCAAACACTAACAAAAGATAACCAGTATGTTTACCATGGTATTCTTTGAAAAACCATATTAATTCCACATTAAATAAAAAAAATACAAATATTTTAAAATAAAAAAATATTAAGAATGTTAGTGTACTATATTTAATGTATTAATATCCATTTTTATCAATAGTGATGTATTGAATGATAGTAATATTAAAAATGTAAAAATTTTATTTAAAAATATTTAAAGGGGTCATATGATGCTTTTTTAAAGATCATTATTTTGTGTATTTGGTGTAACAGAATATGTTGACATGCTTTAATGTTCAAAAAACACATTATTTTTCAAATACTGTACATTATTGTAGGTCCTCTATGCCCCGCCTCTCTCAAAGACAATATGAATATTCTTTCATATGTATTAATTTTTATCAATAGTGATTAAACCTATTATAATTTACATATGTGCTTGTTTTTAAAATCAACTAAATTTAATATAATATTCTAATATATTCTTAATATATGTATTAATAATATTTAGATTTATAAATAGTTCCATTATGTTAAATTACTGCAATATAATTAATACTTGTTCTTAATTAAAATAAGAATATATTGGTATAATCTATTATATTAAATGTATTAATATTAATACATTCATAATAGTAATATTATATAAAATAGAAGTGTACTTACTACATTTTAATCATAGGTTGCGCAAATATTTTTATGAAAGCATGCACTGATAATTGTATGTGATTTTCTTGACTTTAACCTCAGCTGTTGTCCATCTGTTCTTCAGGACCCTGAAGCTCTGGCACAGCTGATGAAGTCGATGCCCCTGACAAACGATGGCAAGTTTTTGCTGCTGGAGAGCGAGACGGGAGACGAAGCGGAAGCAGCCGGACCGGACGAGCAGGAGTCAGAGGCCTGATCTGAACACACACACACACACACACGTTTCCTGCTGCTGTTCTCCTGTCCTCCCCTCACATCTCCAGACAGACTACATGCTCATGATGAAGGTTAAAGGCTTGCTTTAATCCATCAGACACGAGTTTACAAGCTAAAGGAATAATTCACCCAAAAATGAAAATTCTCACCGTTTCTCCAGTGAATAACGGCTTGAGATTTGGTTTGTTCCTCATGCAAGGGTATTGCATGACTCTGAATATAGTGCTCGAGTACTACAAACCAATTTTATTATACTTTAATGGTACGTTTTGGAGTTCAGTAGTGTAAATTAATGTTTCAGTTTCTTTGTGTGGGAAAAAAGCAACTCCGTTTTCATTTTTGGGTATACTGTCACTTTAAGAAAAGTCTTTTCTTGCATCGATTTGTCATTTAAACTTGATTACTGTTAAAATGGTTTAATAATGTCAGATGCCGTTTCAGCTACAAACCAATTTTTTAATAATAGTTGAATCTGTTGCCTATAATACAGGAAGGTTTCAGATTTCTCACACTACATAAGCAAACAACCATGAAACCTGAACATTTATTTGCACTTTCTTACTTCATTGCATCTGACATTAAATGCTGATTTTCATAATCATTTACATTCCATTAAGCTACCATTATACTTTAATTGTGATGCTGTTTTTAATTAAGTTTTGCAAAACTGGTATGAATCCCAATTTGCATACTAGCAACTATTTAGTATGCAAGATTAGCGAAGTTTTGAAATATGCATTCATGCATGCTAATACTGCTTCAGAAAAGACATTTGTGTTGTTCTTGGTAAAATTTCTGAATGCATGAACATAAACGTTAATTAATAATTCACCCAAAAATTAAAATTAGCTAAAAATGTACTCATCCAAGATGTAGATGAGTTTGTTTCTTCATCAGAACAGATTTGGAGAAATGTAGCATTACATCACTTGCTCACCAATGGATCCTCTGCAGTGAATGGGTGCCGTCAAAATGACGCGTTTTTCACTTCACAAGATGTTAAAGGGGTCATATGATGCTGCTAAAAAGAACATTATTTTGTGTATTGGTGTAATGAAATGTGTTTATGCGGTTTAAGGTTCAAAAAACACTATTTTCCACATACTGTACATTATTGTTTCTCCTCTAAGCCCTGCCTTTCTGAAAAGCTCATCGGTCTGAAAAGCGAGGTGTGCTCTGATTGGCCAGCTATCCAGTGCGTTGTGATTGGCCTGACCCCTTTAAATAAAGCAATATCACACTTTAGTTATTAATGTTAACTGATGGACTGGAGTGATGTGGATTACTTGTGGATTATTGTGATGTTTTTATCAGCTGTTTAGACTCTCATTCTGACGTCACCCATTCACTGCAGAGCATCCATTGCTAAGCAAGTGATGCAATGCTACATTTCTCCAGATCTGTTCTGATGAAGAAAAAAAATTCATCTACATCTTCGATTGCCTGAGGGAGAGCAAATTTTCAACTAATTTTCCTTTAAGGTAACTTAAAAAGCTAATTCAGTTAGATGCTAATGCTTACATGCAGATATTATGGTTAAAAAAGGTGCGATTTTCGACTTGCTAGATATATGTACTTCACATTTATGTTGTGTGCAGATTGGGATTCAGCAGAATGCCAAACAAAATTACACTTATTTCTCTATATTTTTGGTTTTAATATTTTTTAAAAACATGCAATTTAGATTGCTTTTAAAACACTAATTTAAAACCACTAGCATGAGTTTACTTCCTGTTGTCTGTTTACATTTGATAGCCTAGAAAATACAGTGAACACATTAACTGAAATTCGGACCCATCCTGTAGATGGAAAAACAAATGCATATATTTTAACATTCATTCTGTGGAAAAATTAATCTCAGGGTGAGTCTGGTAACAAAATTAAATCATTTTTCAAACGCTGAAAGGCTTTTTCCCCCTCAGTATTTCCTGTCTGAGAAGATGGATCAGCGCTTTATTAAACACTCATTTATCTGTCATCGTTTGTTTGATCTGACGGTTCTGACTGTGTGTTGAACTCAAGTTCCTGCAAGTGGTTTGCTAGTGAATGACATTGAACTGTTTACATTTATTGTGCTGGAGCGACTCAAACTGATCCTGAAGTGTTTCTCTAACTCTAATATGCCTCAGTAACCATCTGAAGTGTAACCTGCGCTGAGCTTTAGCATGACAAAAAATAAAAACATTCATGAACGTGAATGGATGTGCAGCAGTTATTGGTGTTAGATTCAGCTCTGCTCAGAATGTAAAACTCTAATAAAGCTTTGGGACCATTTCTAACTTCCTTTACGAGTTGTGAGACTGGAATCTTAAAATGAAATAGTTTAGCCTCTGTGGAGAAAAGTGTCAGTGCACACATCACAACAGGAAATGATGTTAAGCTTTGAGTTTGTCAGTCAAACACATTGCGATTGTGGTGTAGCGTCTGGACCAATCAAACACACAATTTTTCATTTGATTTAACAAATCAGTTATTCATTAGATTAACAAATCGTCATTATATACATTCTGACAGGAATCTCTGTGTGAATCTCTGCTGGAGAACAAGCTGTATTTGTGATGACTTTGTTGGCAACAATGCAGTATTTATTTAGCCAGGTTTTCTAAAGACTGCACCATCTGGTTAGTTTTACAGCAGCCCCATGTCTTGCAAAAAAAAATTGTGCATATGACAGCAATAATAAAGAGATATTTTCGTGGGATGGGTGGTTTAATTTGCCACAAAAAAGTTGGCAATAGATTTTCAAGAGAAGTCTGAATTAATTGAGATGCTCTTCGGTATGGATGGGCTGAACGTGATAAATCTGTTATGTTTTGCACAGTAAGCAAAAGCAAAAGGGTATGAATTTATAGTTGTCATGTACTGTATGTTTTCCAGGTATTGCTGCAGATCATGCTAATAAATAAATGCTAATAAACTGTTACAGTTTTAAAAATGTTACAATAGAAACACGAGTAAATACAAAATATTAATATTTTTGATGTCAAAATAAAAAAAATTTTGTTTAATAAAAAATGTTTAGTGTATATATAAAAAAAAACTGGGAAAAACTACTGCCCTAATTAAAAAACAAAATACATGCAAACATATACGTTTATATTTATTTATTTTTTGTTTGTTTGTTTGTTTATATGTTAAGAAAATATTTCAAAAAATGTTTTGTTTAAAATTAAATTTTATATATATTAGTGCTGGGCAACGATTAAAATTTTTATTCGCGATTAATCATATTGTTATGCACAAAATTCAATAATGAATTCAAAAGTAGTGTATTGCACACTTTTTTCATTTAAAAGTACTGCTATATGAACAAAAGTGCAATAACATTTGGTTTGCAAACACTTTAAACAAATAAGGTGCTTTTTTTTTTACAGCAGTATTTCTTTTACATAGTAGTTAAAATATTTATTGTAAATTTCAACTTATAACATTAATGTAATCAAATTAAATATAAAACAAGCTATTTGCTATAACTTTTTTCTATAACAAACTATAAAATATTTTCTATAAAAACGTTATGCTCAGAGTCCAGAGCCTCGACCATAACATTGTAACAGGCACCTTCCCGAGTAGAGACCTGCACTATCGCGGGACCCAACGCAACAGAGTGCGGCGCGGGACAACACTTGATGGGCGAGTGCGTGTGCGGGTGGGTAGAGACTCGTGTGTGCGGGATGCGGGAGAATAAGGGTGTGTTCACACTAGGCAATCTTAACCGTGTCCGAGCGCGTTTGACCCTCAAAGCCCAGTTCGTTTGACTAGTGTGATCGCTCCGTGCCACGTACCGTGGTTCGTTTAGCCGTCCCTGGCTTGGTTGGAAGAGGTGGGCCAGAGCGCGGTGCGCATGTAGTGTGAGCGCTAATCGCGCCTTAGGAACTTCTGATACGTGCAGCATGATTGTGTGTGTATATATATATACAGTGTTGGGAGTAACGCATTACAAAAGTAATAATATTACAGTAGTATATTACGTTTAGCTGTAACGCAGTAATATAACGCATTACTAATAAAATTTGGGTAATATTATTACTCGTTACAATCTCAGTAACGCAAGTTACAACAACATATTTTAACTCAAAATTAAGTGGTGAATTTACCAACACCGCAAAACAGCAGCGGACAATGACGCAGAAGTATAAATGAAAACTGACGCATAGCCTACGACGTAGGCCCGACGCAGAAGTATAAATCAGCCTTAATACTTGAAGGTGTTGTAGGACTGCTGCATGGCGATGAAACTGGGATGCACCGGCTCTCCCTGCTGGACCTCCCAGGGCTGTGCGATCAGCTGCCCGCGGAACTTAAAAGACTTTTATGCCTTTTTATTAGATAAAGACTGTTGAGAGCAGACAGGAAAGTATTGGGTGGAGAGAGGGAGGCGGGATCGGCAAAGGACCTAGAGACGGGAATCGAACTCGGGTCGCCGTGAGCACAGCTGTGCTGTATGTCGCGCAATAACCACTAGGCTATCAGCGCCGACAATCTGTGAAGAGTTTCATACATTTTCTGGGTGTATAATGAGGGGCGGAAAAAGAAAGCGGGGCAGAAATCTCACCCGTCCTCTTGAGGTGAAACCAGACGTCTCGGAGGGACCACACCATGTGTTTGAGCTGCAGCAGGAAGGAGAAGAGTCTGTTGTACTTGTTCAGACAGCTGTCCGTGATGACGATATTCACCAGCCAGTCCACCTACAGGCAGAACGAGAGAGAGAGATTACGAGAGTATTGCATCAGAAACTGAAGAAATTAACACAGTGGGCGTCTCTGACCTTGTAGCGGAGCTCGAGACAGTTCAGCGAGTCTGGTGCGTGAGGATGGAAGATCTCAGGGAGGTATCGCAGCACCAACGTGAAGTGGGCCACCAGCTCGCTGTCGCCGTGAACACTGTACTGTAAAGCCTTATTGAGAATGGAGTTCAACACCAGCGGGGTCAGCAGCTCACCGGGCGTCTGACCACTGCCCAGCTAAACACAACACACAGTGATAAGCATTTCCAACAGTAGTATGCTACACTTACGTCACATGACCTCATTATGCGGCACGGTTAATTCAGCAAGAGACGTCAAGATATAATCTTTTAGATGTTTAATTTGTAATTTGCAATCTGATTTTGTGTAAAAACTGCACTCAGACCTTCTCAAAGAGCTGATCGCTGAGAGAGAGGGCAAACTCTCCATCCTCCATCAACAGGAAATGCCTGAGAGTCTCAAAAGTGCTTCCCCACACCCAACTCCACGAAGAAATAATCCACCACGGCCTTATTTACCATAGACACACTGCGAGAGAGAGAGAGAGAGTTTTAAATGTACTTTTTTTTTTTTTTAAATGTACATTTCTCTGTTGCTTATGGGGTTTACATTAGGGCTGGATATTGCAACTGATTTCGCAATTCAATTTGGATTTTGATTTGATTTGAAAATGTATTTCAGTTACAATGTAAACTGGCCTAAGTACCCAATCACCTAATTTATCAAAATTATTGTTGCATTTAACTACGTTTTTAAACATGAATTTAAAAAATCAGTTTAAAATTGTATATTTTTTGTCAGTTTAATTGTATTGTCATTTATATTTTTGATGTTTTTTAAATATATTTTTGAATGAATACAATACTTCAAAAATATGTATATTATTTAGATATGTATATAATAAATGTATAAATTTTCATTTATATTTTTGATGTTTTTAATATATATTTGAATGAATAACATACTACTATACTAGAACCACATACTAAAAGACTAAAATACACACACACACACA